TCGAAAGCAGCAATTAGTACTGAAAAAGATGAACAATAGCAACAAAATTAAGTCTCCTGGGAGGAAGTGCTGCAGGCGTAGAGTGAGCACTTGACAATCAAGATAGGATGACTGGGCGAGCGCTGTTACCTGCCCTGCCTTATGGTTAGGGGATGAATAACACCGACTGCAGAGTATCACAGCTGACAAGTGGAGAAATCTCTGTCTCACTGCCAGCCTGGCAGATCTAGTTTGGGAAAGCTTGAAGACATTTAGAGCTGTAGAAACCTACTTTATTTTACCATCTTTCTTAGAACAGTGTGTTTAGACTGTCTAACTGTCTTGCAGTTGTAAAGTAGAAAACAAAAACAACCAATTAAAAACCCCTAAAGTGTTTATGTTGGTCTGCCACTACTACACTGCTTATTTAGTTTTACTTGGAAAAGTTACATTTCTGCAATGATGCTTAACTATCTCCCCATTTAAAATGGAACCAATGGCATTTATGAAATATCAGAAACATTGACGTTTAGAACAATTGATCAGCCTGAAATAAGTTCCATTTTGCTTCTGTGTTTTGTGTTATTCATTTTCTCAAAAAAATAAAAAGTCTACTTCTGTCTTGTTCATTGGTAGCACTGCTGAGCAAATGCAGTTCTTCAGACATGCACCTTGTCGTACTCAATTTCCTCCCTTCCTTCTGACTCTCCTCAAACTGCATTCTGTATATAAACTATTCACCTTCACTTCAGGATGGGGAAGGAAGTTTTGTTTCCCTTGTTTAATCCTGGCTTAGAAAGAAAGCAATTTGCCTTCACTAGGCTGTGTGCAATTACATTTTTATCAAGAACTTCTTGCCAATTCTTGCATGAGAAAGTGCCTGCTGCTTAAAACAGGTAAGATGTCCACAGAGTTCACTCAGTTTAAGCTCAACTGGGCTACATTTTTCCCTTGTAGGTTCTCTTGATGATTGTAAGTTTGACTTACATGATGTATGGCTTTACCAGAGCTTGGATTTGGAAACTCCTGTAATATTTCAAGAAGCAAAGAATGTATTAACACATCAAATACTTTTTTTCCCTTGCAGATAACAACAGTGACAAAGTTAGTATCGACAACACTGGAGTTGAATTATGGTCGTTTTTCCTGTTGGAATAACCAGCATGTATTCTTGTTTTGCAAAATTATAACTCTTACAGAGTTTTATATTTAAATTTTGCAAAACAGCTTCAGCTTTTCTTAGTAACTCCTTAGTGTAGTAATTGGTTTTGTCTGCATTGGACATGATGTGATCTTGCTTTTCACTGTGTTAAATTTTGCAGCTTATTTTATTCCATAAAACATTTATGTTATGTTTGTGTTCATTGATAAATCCTTGACGCATCTATGGCTAGTTGGTGTAAGTAATACAACTAGTGAATGGTGAAATACAGTATAAAGGCAAAAAATGATTTGAAGACTATTGTATAAAGGGCTAGATACTGAATCCACACAACAAAAATAAGAGCGATATCCATATACTGGGATTCGTACATGTTAGAGATTATAAATATGGCTGAGGTTTTATTGGCTTGTCTTTTCTCCCCTTGCCTCGAGGCTGAGTTAAGGGAGAGCCTCTCTCGTTGGTTTTTCTTTTGTCTCTGGCACCACCTTGTTGCCTCAATGAGTCATTACCAGTAGATGCAAGTCCTGAAAAAGGGACCAGTAAGATCCACAAGAGAAGTCAGCAGAATGTTTTGTTTGTATTGCTACTTTCAACAAACGTAAAAGACTACTTATTTCACTGTGGTAGTTGCAGTCAACTGCATGTAAATAATTACATTTCCATGTAGTTCCACGTCTTTAATTACTGTTTTAATTTTCAGATTTTATTTTTGCTATTAACTATTTTGATGCTTTACTTCATTTTTCTCTGTACTACTTATACTCCATCCTGGAAATACTTTTGTCTTTGATTCTACACCCTTCCCTCTTTTAGTAACCTTGGTACATGATACCCATACTTCACTAATGCTGTGTCAGTAAATTCAATCTTTTGCTGTAACTTTGTATGATACCTTTCACAACATTCTTTCAAGTATTAAGTATTCTTTTAAGCTTAAGTATTTACTAATGCGTTCCATTGAATGAGCCTAATTCTTACTTGTTGACAATTAATAACTTACATCATTCTCATTCATATTTTCCACCTTTCTTTAACAGAAATACTTTATTAAAAATAAAATTAAAAATACAGTGAGTAAGTAGTGGCAGAAATAGAAGTTATTTTTAAAGATTTTTTTTGTTTGGTTCTTTGGGGTTTTTTTTAATTATTGTTAGAATTGGTATGTCTTAGAAGCTACTTTTGCACAGTTAACCTCCTGTAAATTATGGAAAAAATAAATGTATGTTTAAAGGGTGTTCAAGATTAATGCTTTGGGATAACAAATATAGAATTTAGGAGTAATATATATAGTATGAATCTTCTGCTTCCTTTTCTTAGACTGATCAGTATCATTACATGTTCTTTGCATCAGTTACTGAAAGGAAAGCTTTAAAGTCCTGTATTTTTACAAGTCTGCTAGTGCAGGGATCGACAATAGAATGTGGGTTACTGTGAGGAAAATTTCCAGCTGAAATGATCGCCCATTTTTTTGACTTTCAGAGAGGGTATGGAGCATCAACATCTCCACGTTATGCTCCAGAACATTGCTACCTATGCTTTCAAGCAGCCTGGTTCTGATCCAGGCTTTGCCAAGTGCAAAAGACTTGGCGTGTGCTGGGTGGCCTTTCTGCACAGCTGGTGCTTTACCTCCTGGGAACCAAGGGGAGAATTTGTTGAGGGACACCTGATCCAAACTAAGTAGGCTACCCTCCTTTACCAAAACAAATTCCCCTCTAATCTCTGTAAGGAAATTGCTGTGGGTTTAATTTAAATTTAAGAATAGGGGTTTTGTGCTGCGTTTTTGATAGTAGAATGAGAGTAGCACTATTAACTGGATTTCAGTGCCCTTTCCCACAAAACTAATTCAATAGAATAAGTAGCTGCACTTCTGTTTCAACTTTCTGACTTTATTTCTTGTTTTCTGTTTCTCCTTTTCCTATTTATGCTGGGAATCCTTTCTGTTGCTGTCTTATTCTGTCATCTCCAAGGAAAAACCCACCCAAACGGTAAAGTTTTAAACATGTACACGCCTTGATAATACTGCCTTTTACTGTTCCAAATATTGCAGCGGTGAAACAAGCAAAAATATTTCAGTCACGTTAGAGTGCTTATAAAGCTGTGTTTGGTTCAGAGAACTAAATCTGTGTTCAGAAGTGCCTGTAGAGCTCACTGTTGCACATCTGCATCCAAATGCAGAAGCTGCCTTTAAACGGTGTGAAAAGTCACAGTTCTGCCCGTGTCTTTGTAAGTACCCCAACCCAGGCTGTCTCTGAAGCTTTTCGCTCACTGCTCTCTTCTTTCCTTGACACAGCCCCCCACGGAAGCACATTGTGGATACCTATACAGAGTTTTACCACACACCCACCCACAGCGATGCCAGCAAGAAGCGACTGATTGAAGACACCGAAGACTGGCATCCCCGGACAGGCACCACCCAGTCCCGCTCTTTCCGCATCCTTGCCCAAATCACCGGCACTGATCATAGTGAGTAGTTTGCTGTAAACAAAATAAAAGTAATCATAGAATGGTTTGGGTTGGAAGGGACCTTAAAGACCATCTAGTTCCAATCCCCCTGCCACAGGCAGAAACACCTTCCATTAGATCAGGTTGCTCAAAGCCTCATCCAACCTGGCCTTGAACACTTCCAGGGATGGGGAAGCCACAACTTCTCTGCGCAACCTGTTTCAGTGCCTCACCACCCTCATTGTAAAAAAAAATAAAAATCTTCCTTAGATCTAACCAAAATCTGCTCTCTTTCAGTTTAAAGCCATTGCCCCTTGTCCTATCACTACATGTCCTTGTAAAAAGCCCCTCTCCAGCTTTCTTGTGGGCCCCCTTTAGGTACTGGAAGGCTGCGAGAAGGTCTCCCCAGGGTCTTTTCCAGGCTGAACAACCCCAACTCAGCCTGTCTTTAGAGGATAGGTGCTCCTGTGAAGGTGAAAAGGCCACAGATAGGTGTTTTTAAAAGCTGGGGGGAAGGGTGGCAAGAAATAGTAAAAGGATTCAGTCACATCTCTTGCATTTCCCCTCATGGATAATAAATCTAGCAGGCAGAATTTTGGTGAGCTCTTGGAAAGAAAAAAAATTTGAGAAGACTATAGTAGGAAAATATTTATGTAAAACTCCTGCAATTGCTAAATAGCTTAGGACTTATACGTTACTGGACATGACTCCTGATTGAGTTGACTGTTAATATATGTATTCTAGATAAATCTTAAAATTTCCATTTCTACTCCCAAAGATGTTGGCAGATATATATTTGTTGTTTCTTTCCACTCCTGTATCACCAAAATGGTGACATTCCTCTTGAAATTTAATGGTCCAGAAAAATTAAGGCCTTTACAGGCATATAGAAAATCTTTGACAGTCATACAAAGGTATGTGATCTGCAATGATTTAACCAATCAGAAGTGTAAATCCCTAGCTCCTGAGTTTATTCCCAGGGCATCTTTCCATCCTTTGCTTATGCTATGGTGTTGTGATTACATGTACTGTGGACTAGAACAGATGATGCAGAGAAGGTCATTCCCAGTCATATAATTTTATGGTAAAACTTCAATTTCATATTACACTGTCAGTTATAATTCATTGACTGAGATCTGTAATGCTGTGTAAAAGCCATCAGAAGTGCCATCAGGAGATTTGAGCTCAGTCGTGTTCAGACTGAGGCAGCTAATGTAGAGGTGATTATTTCATTCTTCTGCTTTTCACAGCTAGTGCTACAATAAAGCAGGCAGTGAGGAAATCAGGCCCCCTCCCCAGGGGCAGATTTTATTAAATTAACTATCGATTCTCTGACAGAATTACTCTAGAAGCCAATGATAACATCTCCCCAAATAGCGATTATTGTCCATATGTGATAAATATTCTGAACTTGGACAGTTACCTGATTGTTTTGTGGTCCTGCATCGCACTAGCCTGTTAATGGATCATTGTCTATCTTTGGATTCTCTTATTTAATCCTTGTAAGGGCAGAATATGAGACCTGAACTTCAAATAACATGTCATCCAGTACTGATGAATTAATAGTGTTGACAAATACTATAAAAAAAAGTGACAGCTACTAGATTTGCCAAGCTTAAAATCAGGGCTGGGAATTTACATTATCCCACGTGCGGTCCTCTAGCACCTTGATGGGTCACAGCCTGGCTGCAAACAGATGCTTGGATTATCACCTGATATAAACCCACTGGATGTTCATCCAAAAGAAATGCTTCCCCACTTCCCTTCATCTTCCCTTCCTTAACTCACCTTTCTCAATGCCAATATGGAGAGTGGACCAAGGGAAAGGGCAGAGACCAGCAGAGCCACCTTTCAGCAGTCCTGCTGGTGAAGGGGCTCTCGAAGTTTATAGATATACCTCATTTCCATTGGGGCGTATTTCGAATTGAGGACTCCTAATGAGCCTTGTTTTAATTTCCTGCTGTGTTGAGTGCATTGGCACAGGGGAGAATCTCAGTGTACAGTGCCTTTAGTGCCTTAGAAAATAAAAACTTTCTGTTTTCTTGCAGTGAAAGAACCAGAACATGAAGCTGCAAAGAAGACTAAGTGAGTTGATGTTTTACGTTTTTATTATTTTAATACTTTGCATGTCTTAATTCTTAACTGATAGTGTTTGGTGCATTTGTGTGACATCTGGTTGTTTTTAAAATGTTGCTTCATTTTTTGCCTTCTACTTAAGCATGTAAAAATCAAGATCTCTTTCTCCATAGACCGACCTTTTTAAATCTGTTGGTGCAGTCCAGTATTAATGTTTGTGCAAGAGTTTGAGATTTTTTGTAAACTTGGACGGATTTGGTTTTCTGTACAAGGTCAGCTTGTCAACCTGTTTTCCTTTTCCTAAATCTAACCAAGCATTTTTGATTTGCGAGTGTGGATCAAATTGCAAGGCATAGCTGGAAAGTATTACTGTTCTGGACTGTGAACGAGGGTCAGGTGTCTCCTTGCTTTGGCACAAGTGTTGCTCAAAATCAAGACCAACCAGTGGCTAAATCTAGTGGTTCTTGCAGTCAGTGGGAGTTTTTCTACTGACTTTGCCTAACACTGGATCCAAGTTTTTGACAGAGAGGAAGGTAATGTGCGGATAGGGATGCTGCATGGAGATGGCATGCTCTCTTGTGAAACTGCTTAAGACAAACTTTCTTTCCTTCTTTCTTTCTTTCTTTCTTATTTTTCTTTTATCACTTCTTTCCACAGGGAAAAGGTTCCCATCCACGTCTTTAGCCCCAAATATACAAAATTACGTGACTGGCACCATGAAGTCTCAGCACGTGTTCTTAATGTCCAGTGATTTTACCCAAGTTGCAAAAGCAAAATACAAACGCTTCCTTCCTTTCTTCTTTTCCATCTGCTTTGAAAAAAAAACAAAACAAAACACCAAAAAACAAAACAAAACAAAAAAACCACCAAACTTGTTTCACCAGCCTTACTGCAAGAGAAATTCTAGCCTTTTCTATACTTTTCTAACACTTTCCTACTGATGTGTAAAAAAAGAGATGAAAATGTTTTTGTGCTAATCCCTGGTTGATAAAAAATACTTATTTAAAATAGAACAACTTGGGTGACTGAATCTCCCAACGTGGGGGAGGAGATGGCTGTTGCAGTTCTTTTTTTGCCTTAAAGGAGTCATTTGCGTTGCTGAGTTTGAGTTACTGTAGGTTGTTAGAAAGCAGAAAGTTATGAACAAAGGAATAAGAAATCGTATTACTTTGATCTTTGGAGCTGGGGGAGGAAGATGAAGAGGGACTGTATGCACTTATTTCAAACTATTGTACTTACCAGAACAATTATCTTGGGTGTCACTAGGTTTTCAGGAGGTCAATCAGAGTGGTTGTAAATGTTTTACAAAGTAGAGCAAGATGGCAGACTGCTTCAAGCAAATAATAAATAAATAAATAAATATTTTGATGTTGTGAATCGAAGTGCAAGCTCAATATAAAGATACTGCTGCTTAAACTACTAATATGTTCATATTGTGGAACACTTAGAAAAAATTGAGCAGAATGTAGCTGTGTACCTGTAAGAGTTTCAACACATCCTCTAACAAGAACGAGATAAGACGGTAGTATTTATTTATTACAGAGTAAAGCTCATAGGCTTTCTTGTGTTTATAAAAGCTTCATGGCCCTATGGTTCTCCTGTAAAATAATGTATTATAGTAGCTACACATTCATTAATTTATGCTTTCTGAAGCTTGAAGAGTATTTTAATAAAAGTTGCTTTTATCTTAGCTCTGTCTGTTTTTCTTTTGAGTCTCTCAGACTCCTTGAATAGTCTTCGCATTCATGGAGCTGTAATTTCTTTGCACCTTCACAGATTATAGTAAGAGAAACAATTAAATCCCTGCTGCGTAGGAGAAACAATCTGAGTTCTACAAAGCCGTCACAGTAGTAAAGTTCCTGATCATGTTAGAAATGGGGTATGTGTGTTGTCAAGATCTGCAGAAATCAAAAAATGATTGACAATTTGGAGGGCTACAGGAGGAAGAATTCTACTAAGTAAAACTCACTCTCGGCTTTTGCCACGCTTATTGAATCAGAGAAGTTTCAAACCTCAAAGGCGAATTGTAGAGCACATGTAAAAGCCCAATCCTTCGTAACTGCTTAATGAGAACCATTGCGATTGTCTTGTAGTTTGTGCAGCTGACCTACATGCTTTTCTGATGGAATTGGTCCTCTGAACACATCGATGTCCACTGCAAGTGCTTCTGCAGACTTGAGGGGGTTGGGGTTTCTATTGCACAACCTGGAAAGTTGCTTTAGAAACATTTTAAGCTTGTGTTTCCTTTTCAGATGGTTTCTACTGCAATGCAGTACAGCAGTAGCTTATGGTATTTGTCATTTTGTCTTTAGGAAAAGCCAAACAGAAAATGGAGACTTCAGGTAATAGCCAAGTTATCTAACACTAACAGTCACTGATGTGGATGCCTAACAATGCACAGCATAAAGTACAATTAGAATTGCACTGGTAGTGATGGACCAAGGCATATCACATCTTACACACCTTTTGGGTTAACTCCTTAGGGACAGTAGGAATAATTTCACTGAAGACTGTTTTGATGAGAAGTGCCAATCAGTTTGATTTCACCCCTCTATCACATAACTTGGTAGTGAGTACTGTGTCACTAAACCCAAGCGTGTTGCTTAGTGCACATACACTACAATATAATCATTTGATAGAGTACCATGTGTTAAAGTAGGAATGTGAAGTAATGTATTAAAATTGTTTTGCTAGATTTAAACAATTTTTTTATGAATGGAAAGGAATACAGGAGTTTCAGAGGACATCAGTGCAATGAAAACTATGAAAGATTATCACTTAGACTCTGTAAACTTTTCTTCATAAGGGCAGAATGGTTTGACCTTCAAGTATTTTTATGTTGTGGAGATGTCCCCAGGGAATGAGAATATCTTCACATGGATATTTAACTTACCATTATGTTTGTTTATCTTAACAGCTCTTATCCCTTTTGAAGGATGAGTTACTTTAGTGAGAAATGGAAGAAAAAGCCTCTCTAAATAATCCAAAGTATAGAAGTGTCTATTTTGATTAAATTTAAGCATAGATACTAATAGAGTCTATCTATTGAGGATATGAGAAGAGTTTGTTTGAGAAAGTCTACCAAAATTATTAGTTTCCAATAAATTCATAGTAAAAAATCACTAGTTCCAAAAATATTTTATGAATGTGTGAAACTAATTTAATTTACGGCTTTAAAAAGTCATCTCTTTGCCCAATATCCCCATTGCACAACACTTGTTGACATTAAATTTTGGTCTTTGTTACTGTTTCCACAATGGACTACTTTTCCATTTGCATGTGAATAACATGCCCTAGCTCATGTCCGATTCCCAGCATACATCTGATCTTTGAAAAAACGTTCCAAGTGTTTTTTCGTATAACTGAATAAGGCTACATTTAAGAGATCACCTAGGAGGATGAATAAGACAAACAATGAATTAGAAACTTCTCTTCTATCAGTAATCTACAGCTAAATATCTCAATTTAATAGTATTCAACTTTTCAGGTAGGCATTGTTCAAGATGAATGCCTAGTATTTTATTATTGTTTTTATGACTCGCCCACGAGGGATTTTTATGTGGATAAAATAGATTTTTTTTTTTTTATTTTCAGCAGCTGGAAGGGCAGGAAATAGAAAGCCCTCACTGAAATGTGTAAATTACAACTCTTAAACCAGTTACTTAAAGCTTAGAAAGGCAAAGTCTAACCTTTATGTAAAGTTGTATGTGTTTCAGTAACTGATTGGTTCTAAATCTGCAGCACTCTGTTGCCAAGTATGTTTTAGATGTTCACTGTTAACCATCTCCTTTCGAGCAACCAGGTACAGATTTGATTTTGGCCTTAACTTGTAGAGAGTTGTCCTGAGTGAAGGTGTGTCTGGATTTTCTAAATTTGTAGTTTAGCTAATCTATAGCCACTGGAAAACATTTGTCCCGCTCTTGGTCAGTCCTGAAACCACCTGTCATAAATCATGTATTTGTCTTTTTTCCCCCCTGTGTCATAAATATCTGTAAAGCATACTGGCGGATCTACCTAACGGAGCAGGAGCCCAGGATACCTGTGTTAATCAGAATAAAAACGCCATAGCTACCCAGACTTTGGAGGTGACATCTGTACCAGAATTCCCATCCACACCTTTACCACCTATGAGGTCTGCTCCCTGGTCGTTCCTAAGTCTATTCAATAATTTTTAGTACTTAAGGCTCCCTACTTTATAAGATACTTAATTCTGCATACTAATATATATGTGTGTATATATATTATTAAAAAAAAAAAGGCAGCAATGCCTACTCCTGTGACTAATTTCGCCTGCTCAAAACTTATGATTGTGATTTCTCTCTACCTCATAGTTTACTTTTATTTTTGCGTATTAATGAGATGTCTGATGGATGCTTTTCTTCAAGTAGAGGGCTTTAAGACAACATTTTCTAGATTTTTTTTTTTTTTTACCTATCACAACTGAAAACAAGAAAGGATATGAAAAAATATTGAGAAATATATAGTCTAACCTTCACAAAACTAACACCCTAAAAAGTTGCAGCAAAAAGTATTTAAAGCTTTGGGAGTGAATCCCATTAGTGCTTTTGTCTGTTTCTTTTCCAGTATTTTCTAAAAGTTTTCCATCACATAATGTAGTACTAAATATATGTGTTTCATCTTTATAAATGTAAAATACTACTTGGGTTTCTGAGTTTATAAGCAGCAGGACACTTCTCAACCTTCATTAAGAGCATGACACTTTGTAAGAGTATTGTGCCTTATTTTATCCTCCTATTTGTATTTTGCTGTAAACTCCATGGGTTTTTTTTGGGTATTGTGTTTTGGTTGCTTTTTTTTGTGGGTTGGTTTTTTTTTTTCCCAATTTACTAACACTTTCATGCACAGCGTCTCCTGTTCAACATACTATTTCAATGTGGATTAAAAATCTCTTTCTCTGTGTATCTCCATTTGATTTTATTACTGTGAATGGAGTGAAAACGATGCTAGACCAGAACCTACAGCCGTTCTTTTGCCGATAGCAGAGTCGTCCCCTGGCAGCGTCCCCTCTCCCAGGCTTTCTGAACACACTGCTGCAGCAGCTCCTGGGAGGTAAATCATGCAGAGAGGGTTTCGATTCAGTTAATGATCTATCTGTATGTTGGTTTAGCCTAGATTTGTGTGTTTTGAGGGAGAGAGGGTTGTCTTTCATTCATTTAAAATAAACTTTATTAATCTGCCATGGCTAGAGATTTTCCTGGAAATAGTAGGAGGGGGAAGGAGAAAAGAAATTAAATAAAGCTGAGCAGATTCATGAACAGTCTCATGGATACCAGATAAAATAAGAGAGAATATTTAGTGTGCATCAGTATATTGTCAGTGGGTGTTCGCCCTGTCACCTGGATGGAGTAACTTTTCAGAGGTCTCAACAACTCAAAAACAAATTCAGATTTCTTCAACACACAGAAAAGTGCCTTTGAAAATATAAAAACTTTTTTTTTTTTTAAGTGGATTGTTTAGTTCATAACACTGTGCTGTGCTGTGATCCAGTCAAAGAAAACTAAATGATTTTCTGGCAAATTGCCTGTTACTGGTCTTGGATAGTTTCACTGGCACTTGGCAGATTGGTGACGTTTTAGAGGTCATTATGGGTACTAGACAGCGACAGTAATTTGGAAGGTTACGATGACATTATTGAAGGTCAATAACATTTTCTGATGGTTTGTGTTTCATAGCGAGGAGCGTTGTGGGTTTTTTTTTAATTGCAGGTAGCTAATGTTCATTACACATGCACAAGCACAAAGTTATTACATGAAACAAAGCTGCTCCTTTAAAAATACGAATTGAATGAACGCCTGGTCCTGCCAGGCCCCTAGACAGAGGCTTGTCCTTGTGAGAAGCATACAGAAGTATACTATTTCCCATACCTGTGTGGTCTTTCTGCAAATAGACATCTGTATACTAAGATTTGGGATTGACAGTGTCCCCTTTAAAGCAATAGTTTCCACCAACTGAAGAGAGATGAGGTGAAACCTCAAAACAAAATAGAGTCTGTTTTGCTACAGTGTCTGGGAGAAGAGGGTACCTTCATGAGCTAACATGAGATTAGTCAGGAAGGGATGATGGGTGATGATAGAGGTTTGCTTGAACAGCAGGCCAGCACCCTCATGGTCACCTGTGGTTTGAGCCAATGCAGAAAAGATTTGGTTGTGATGGTTTCAGTAGCGTGTTCTCTTAAATTGTGGGAAGCAGATGGGGTGAGTAGTTATGAGTCACCAAAGATGAAAAATACACACAAAAGGTGTATGGTAATACTTTTTTTGTTAAGCAGAAAACCTGGGATGAAAAAGGCAGGGGGAAAAGTACTCCTTCAATAATTGATTTTCATGCCTACCAATGAGACTCTAGTATGAATACACCTACTGAGCTGCGGATGCCTTTCAGATAGTGCTACAACTACTGTATTCTGAGTACCAAGGAGTTCTTTCTAAATCCTACCTCTTGATCTGTGTCCCGGGAAAGAAATTTAAATCTACTCCAACTCAAGACTGTGGTGGGTTAGGCTGCTCCGGCAACTATACCCTACACAGTCCCCTCTCACCCTCCCACCCCCCAGGGATGAGGGAGAGAATCAGAGGAAAAAAAAAAAAGAGACCCAAGGGTTGAGATAAGAACAATTTACTACTACCGCTACCAATATATATATATATACAGATATGTACAAGGATAAACATATGCAAATGAGTGATGTACAGTGTAATTGCTCACCACCCCTTGACCAAGGCCCGTCTCGTTACGAAGCTGCAATCCCAAAACAGATAAAGACAATACCGCAATCCTGGATGAATGGGAGGCCCTGAGACAGAGAGCGAGAGAGAGAAAAAAAAACACTCTGAGAGCCCGAAAGTGAGAGTCCCGAAAGGGCAAAAGCCCTTCTTTCTGGCTGACCCTCACTTTTATACTGGGCATGACGCTGCATGATATGGAATACTAATTGGCCAATTTGGCCCTCAATCTTAAGTTCAGGTACAAATCGTAAGGAGAGTCGTGGACCCCTTGTCCCAGCTATACTCCCCCCTTATCGTGTTGTGCTCCTGCACACTGGCAAGAACCCGGCAGGCTGAAAAGTCCTTGAGACCTCAGTGCCAACTATAAACATCAGTGCACTATCAGCATTCTTCTCAGAGCGAGCCTCTGAGTAAAACCAAAACACGGAGCTCTTCTAGCTGCTAAAAAGAAGAGCTAATCCTGTCCCAGCTAAAACCAGGACAAAGACCTATGGCTCTAAGTTTGTTATTTGGCAAAATTAACCTAGCAAGAGAGCGGCTTTGAAAGGAACCGCAGGAAGTTGGAAAGGACAGCTACGTTCATGGTGGTTCAGGATGAGGGCTGAAGTGTTTATACAAATAGTCAATAAAGTAGATGGTGAGTATTTTCTACTCAAGAAGGGCAGAAATCTGAGCAGCTTGTGCAGAGCTATAGAAAGAAGGATTAGCATTGAGCGTGGGAAGGAAAATGTAAATTATTTGACGAGGCTATGTAGTCTTGATTCTTTCCTGAAATGAGACATCATCAGTGTAGCAACTGTATTTGGTGTTTTGTTACTGAGCTGATGTCTCTGCTTTTATAACCCTCTTTTGGGGGAAATACACCCAGAGCTGAATTCCAAAACCCCTTTTTCATAAAATGACAGCTATCAGAAATCCGTATGGAACAATTGGTGCGTGCCATGTCAGACTTTTAGTAAAGCAGAATTGGGCCATCCAAAGGTCAGTAGATTTGCTTTTGTGACTAATGCCCCGCATTTGTTGTCCATGACTGGCATAGGTCTTTATTTTCCTAATGGGCTCCATCTTTTCTTGGCTGAGGCTCTCTGATTTGTACCATCCACTACTGAACCAACAAGGAGAAAGTGCTTGCTGTGAAATGTGTGAAGGATCTGGATTTGATTACTGGATTAAAGTTAAGTTCGCTGCTTATAAGGCAGACTTCATAATATAGAGCATAATGCTTTTTTTATTGTAGTTTTAGTTATTTATTGAAAGCCCGAAGTAGTCATATGGCAATATAGCCTACTACTGTAATTTATAGTGTATTATTACTCAATATCATATAGGCAATAACAGTAAAATATTTAAAAGCCTTTCCAGAAAATTGCAAAAAGTCATCTTAAAAAGTCATCCTGGCAACTTTAGACCATGTAAACCACAGAATCCAGCACTTCCTGAGAAATACATAACTAATGTAAAGCAGATCCAGTGCCAGCAAGTCTCTAGATTGCTCTTTTATATACATGCTTTTTACAGTCATACACACCTACTTTTATCTTTTCTTTTAATGGAATTATTCCTGATAGTCATAAATACAAAGACTTAATATTAAATAATAGGTATTAATCCAGATTGTTGTTGTGTGCTTTCTGATTAGTGGACCGCCAAGAATATTCTCTGCAGACATTGCAATCTCTCAGAGTAATTTCTTATTCCTTTTCTAGCTACTGCCAAAGCAAGTGAAAAATGGAAATACAATGAGTATGTGTAAGATTTGGAGTCAGCCTGCTCTCCCTTTGGAGCATGTACCCAGTATGATTTATTCCTCTTCTCTTCGCCTTCTTCAAGGCCCTTTTTATGACTAGTAAGGCTTCACAAAGATGCTGTATGAAGTTTTAGAGAATTTGAGGGCAACTCCAGGAAAGGGTGTAACCTGTGCATACAGATATTTTGATGGATTTGTGAATTGTTGTAACTACTGCTGTACTCTCCTCAACTCAACCAGATCTTCTTTTTGGCGGGTTTGGCATTTCTATGTCAATTTTCCTAAATGACTTCCTTTGGTTGTAATCATCATGGAAAAGGGAATTTGCAAAAACAGATGTTGCTCATTTAGTTGACAAATGAACGTCAGGCTGGGGAGAAGAGGAGGTCTCAGACTGACCAAACTAAACCTGTCAGATCTTTTATGGTTGTCTTGACTTGGTGACAAGCCAGAGAAAGTAAAATATGGGGAAAAAATCTTGCTTTCCTGTGGTGAATGCTACTTGTCCTTCTACTTTCTTTTACTTCAGAGAACTTTTGTTTGAGAACCCTTTGGAAGCCTTACCCAAGTGTGCACCTCATCCCCCTGCAATTGTTCAGGTTTTAAATGCCAGCAGCCAAGTAGCCACAGTGTCTAAAGTGTCATCTTCTTATACTAGGTAGAGTTTCTGATGTACTGATTGTGCTCTTGTTCAAGTTTTGTTGTCTATTTTTTGAGTAACTACTTTGAACTACCCGAATAATTTGGTTTTGTAGTTAAACAAGCCTGGTTCTAAGCTCTCAAGCTTTGGCTGTAGAAGTGCCCCAAAGAACCAGTTTCAGCATGATCTGATTCCTAGGAGATGAGTATTTGATTCCTAAGGAAGAAAAAAAATAGCCCTCGTGTGCTATTTTTTTGTACTCCTTCTTACAAAAGATGCAAGAACACCAGCTAGAAAGAGTTATCTGTTACTGTTTGGTATTTTATATGTCAAACGAGAGATTTCTTCTCCATATGTTTTCTCGTTGTAATTACTTGTGAAATTAACATCAACCAGGAAAGTAACTGTGGAGTTGCCTGCTCCAGTTGCAGCAAGTGTTTTGACAGTTGGTAAAGCACCTCCTCTTCCCGCGAAGTGCACCGTGGCCACGCAGACCTCTGAGCCTCCCCTGCCCGCCACCGTGGCCCAGCGGCCGCCTTCTGCAGCTCCACCAGTGGAAATGGCCCTTGGGCCACCTCCCGCTCCTGCCAGGTACATCCGAGCCAGCTGCCTTAAGAAGGCACGATCTGAAACTGTAATTTTACATGCGGTTTCACCTGATTTTTAATTTTTTTTTTTTTTTGATGATGATGTTATCAAGATGGAGCAACTTACAGGTGTCTCCTGACCCTCACGCTGCTCTGGAAATTTGCATAGCAATTAGAAATCTGAGTAGCTTTTAGACAAAAGTTAGAAAAATAATTCAAAAGTCAAAGTGGCCCATAGATGGATGTGGAGAAACCAGTGTACGAGTGGGAGATTCAGTTGGAAGGTGACTTTGTTGTCAAAAATTGGTGACACGGGGTGAATATATGGTGTTGAAGTGTGGAAGAAGGTTTTTGGGGGAAGGCACAGCAGAGTGTGTGTAATGCTTTGATAGTCCATGTTTTATTCACCTGGCATTCAAAGGTTAATTACCCTTGCTATAAAATGTGTGGTTTTGAGTTGTCCAATAGCTTGAAGTCTTTGGAGGAGAATAGAAGCATTAACTTGTGTAGTGATGGGTCATCCAGAGCATAGTGTTTACCAACAAGGAAAGAAAGTGCTTCCCTTGGTAATTAACATACCAGGATATTAAATCATACCTGTTCTTTTAAAAGCTCTCCTTACCAATAAAAAAAAAAATAAATTAACAACTCCTGAAGTTTAGTTAGCATTGCCAGAGGTGTAATAAGTGTTTGATTAATGACTTTTCTTCTCTTGCTGCTTTTGAGCAGGCATGAAGCATCTCTGCCTACTTGTGAAACAAATGCTTTCAATAAAATCTCAAGCTGTCAGTCTAAATCATCTGTAAGTCATACAAGGTAAATCTTCTAAGGTATATCTACAGCAGACTGCTAGGTGTAAGCGAGGTTTTCAAGCAGCACTTTTGCATTTAAATCAGAGAAGTGGTGTATAGTTGTGTGTTTAGAGTGTTTTGTTCACTTCTGAAATTATTTAAAAAAATGCACAGCAATTCTGTGAATAATCTTGAGATTTTAAAGTAAAGCCTGGGTTATGGATTCACCATTGTAGAAACAATTTTGGAGCCAGCATTTTTTTTTTCTTTTTTTTTTTTCTTTTACCACCCTCAGTGAAAAATTTCTTCCTTATATCTAATCGAAATCTCCCCTCTCAGTTTAAATCCATTTCCCCTTGTCCTATCACTACACGCCCTTGTAAAAAGTCCCTCTCCAGCTTTCCCGTAGGCCCTCTTTAGGTACTGGAAAGCTGCTATAAGATCACCCCGGAGCCTTCTCTTCTCCAGGCTGAACAGCCCCAACTCTCTCAGCCTGTCTTCATAGCAGAGGTGCTCCAGCCCTCAGATCATCTTCATGGCCCTCCTCTGGACCCGCTCCAGTAGCTCCATGTCCTTCTTGTGCTGGGGACTCCAGAGCTGAACCCAGTATTCCAGGTGGGGTCTCACAAGAGCTGAGTAGAGGGGCAGAGTCACCTTCCTCAACCTGCTGGCCACGCTCCTTTTGATGCAGCCCAGGATACGATTTGCTTTCTGGGCTGCCAGCGCACATTGCCGGCTCATGTTGAGCTTCTCATCCACCAGCACTCCCAAGTCCTTTTCCTCAGGGCTGCTCTCAATCCATTCTCTGCCCAGCCTGTACTTGTGCTTGGGATTGCCCCGACCCACATGCAGGACCTTGCACTTGGCCTTGTTGAACTTCATGAGGTTCTCACAGGCCCACCTCTCCAGCCTGTCAAGGTCCCTCTGGATGGCATCCCTTCCCTCCAGCATGTCCACACCACCACACAACTTGGTGTCATCTGCAAACTTGCTGAGGGTGCACTCGATCCCACTGTCCATGTGACCAACAAAGATGTTAAATAGCACTGGTCCCAGTACTGACCCCTGAGGAACACCACTCGTCACTGGCCTCCGCTTGGACATTGAACCATTAATCACCAAATATTTCCAAGTTTTCCATGTTTATTATTTATTATTATAAAGAGGAGAAGCTAAATGATCTTCAGGGCTCTTTCTGTCAGCACCATGATCCATGTGGAATGTTCTGGGCCCTGGGTTGGTGGGAATGATCCAGGGGTGCAAGGCAGAGTCTGGAATGGGGAATTTGAAGCCTGATAGATGCTGTCTTGATGAGGGGAAAGTTTTATTTGTGGGTGAAATCAAAATTGCTGTTTTCTATATTAGTATTCAAGTGGCTAACACATTTCCCTGATGTTTCTCTGAACTGGGAACCTACAGTCACGTAACTTTCCAGTGGTTAATATAGTCCAGCATTGTACTGTGTCTCTTTCAATCTTTCCTGCTTTCTCTGTTTTTTCCTCTGTTGGCTTAAAGCTTCAGTGCTGGAAAAGTACTGCTGAAAAATCCTTTGGGAAGTCTGCCCCAGTTTGGACCTGCTCCTCTTCCCATTCTTTCTCCTTTGAAGCAGAGATCAAAAATTAAGAGTATGGCTGCTGCTGCTGTGTCTGCTGCTGTTGCTGTCCGGGCCAGGTAGACATCAACTTTAAAAGAAACATTTTATAGCTTGCTTTAAGAAAGTTCAAGCTCACACAAGAATAATCAGTCCCTGGTAGGATTGCAGAATCAGCTCTTTCTCAATAGCATGGTGGGCAAGTCATTAAGTGTACGTCCAAGGCTCCCATGCCCTATTTTTAGCTTATCTCCAGACTGCTGCTCTGCATCTTGGTGAGTAATTCTACCTTTCTGATCCTCATCATATGTTTTGCAGTTCAGTCAGTAAACTAACTAAATAACAATTGTGTTACACGGGTGACAAAGAATAATTTGCATATTTGAGTAACTTTTGGATACCTGAAGACAATGACTCTCCGAGTTCCATCTAAATCTTTACTGCATTGCTTTTTATAAAGGCTTACTTAGACCAGTGGTCTCAAGTTTTTCAATCACACATTTGTATCAATAGAAAATTTTTGAGCACACAATGTATGTATATTTAAATATTTCTAAATTTTGTAAGTGTCCTAAGGTACTAATATATTGTGTACATTATAAAACATACATAAAAAGAGAAATTAAACGAGGATGAGAAGAAGCTGAAACAAACTCTATTTTCACAATATTTTCTATTTTATTTTATTACTGGTAAAAATAAAATGAAATAAGTGTCTTCTCACACCTGAATGGCTTGTCTTGTGCACCCCCTGCAGTGTGCAACCTCCACTTTGGGGACTCCTTATTTAGCCATAATTTCTACATCAGTTATCCTAGGTTCAGTTTCTCCATACTGCTACAGAACTTACAGGCTTTCCATGAGGGTTTTTAGTGGCCCAAACCAACTTGAACTTTGGTCATCTAGTTTGTTTACGTGATCTTTTTAAATGCTTGCTAGACTCTCCGAACCTAGTGTCTACCGCTCGCTCTTGGATGCCCTGCTCATCACACCTGTCACTAAGCCTCCTCTGCAGGCCATCGGGCCCTCCAGGAAGTCCACGAGTGCTCTGGAGTTGCAAAAGAGCAAGAGGTATTGTCCAAGTGCAGTGCATGGATGACACTTAGGACTCACAAGAAACTGATTTCTCCTTCAAAGCCTATTTCTGTTGTCTGCACACTTGAAGCAATCTGCCTCTTGCGGTTTTTGGCATGAGGTCACCAACCCCAAATGCTACTGGTTTCACGTCTTTGCAGAACTAATCTGCACCCTGGTTGTGCCGATGGTGTTTGTGCAAGTCCACCATACTAAGCAAAGGTTTCCTCACCCTTCTGAGATGCAATGTGCTGCTTGTGTTGTGTCGCGAAATCGGAGGGAGGCACCATCACTTTAAATAGCCAACTGGAGAACAAACAAGATACTCTGGCTTGAAACCTCTACCCAAGTGAATTATTTGCAACAGTTCCTTGGGCAAGTAAGCGGCATGTTAGGCTCGGAGCGTGCTCTGGGAACAAAGAGCTGCTATTTTTCAAAGCTGCTTTTTCATGTATAAAATCAAATAACTGGCCTGCAGTGCAGCAAATAACTTTATTTAACACTTACTCGCTGTCTAGGCCCTTTGTTCCAGTGCTGGTTCTGTTCAGTGCACAGGACTTTTTGTTCTCGTTTCCTGCCCGCAGCGATGCTGCACTCACTTCTGTGAAAAGCTGCGTTTATCTAATTGACTTCAGCCTCAAAGGCAGAAATCTGGTGATATTACAGGACAGTATGTATGAAGTTATGCTAAGGAAGAAATAATTTGTGAGTTTTCATGTGCTTATTTGCATTTTCACAAGTATAAAACTGTTCTAGAGATAAGGCCCAATTATAAGTAGAGCTGAGATCCACTTGCTGTAGCAACTTCTGTTGAGTGAGAAGTATTAGTTCTTGCCCTCCTGTTTCATGGCTTCCAAGGTGACCTCAGTCACTCGAAAAGGCTGAAGTACCCCTAACTTTTGGGAAGAGAAATGCTAGTTATTAGACACAGACAATCTTAAGTTGTATCAAACTTACCAACGTTGTGGCACATCCACTTTAAAAAGAAAAAAAAAAAAATTAACAGAATTGTAGTGATTCAGCACAAGCTTAAATACCAGTTTTCTGAATGATATTTAGGAAGAAATCTTTTAATGTGCACATCAAAGGGAAAATGCTTCCAGGAGTTCTGATGTCTGTGCGTCACAGGTGAAGTCCAGGATGTGCTGCCAGCAAGGCTGTATTCTCTAGCTGTGGGGTTTGTTTGCTGATAGAGCTGTCAATGGCAGTGAAAGTTAATTCCCTGATGTCCCTTTTCTTTTTTCCTTCACTCACTAATGTGCAGTGTTTATGGCAAACACTGCAGATGAAGGTAGATTGTTACAAGAATGGAAATGCTCCCGTTCCTGACTCTGAAACTGACTTTTATGTTTAGCCATCATTTACTCATCACGCTGGGAGAACCTCTCCTGCTTTTAGAGATGCAAACACTTATTTCTGCTAGAAGGTCAAAATTTCTAAACTGACTCCATTCAATTGCTGTCCCTTATGAGTACGTAGGACTGCCCGTTGGGAAAGGCAGCAAGCAATGGAGAACTTCTTTCATCCCACTGTAACTGAAGTGCGCTTTTCGAGGTTTTTCTCCGTTTTACTCTCCTGATTGGCAGAGCTGGGGAAAAACACCCTGGGGAGCTAGGAGGTATACTGGGAGTACAGAGACAGCAGCGAAACTATATGAGCCTGCCCAAAAGACCTTGTTGGTGTTGGATATGTCAAGATTGAAAGGTTTGAAATAAACATCCACAGATTACTAGGATTTTTTTATATTATTTCTAAATTTGTGAAAATCGATTTTTCTTTTAACCTATTGCAATAGCCAGGTTTTTGAGCTCAGATTGCACACAGGCTGTGGCATAAGGTCATACAGGAAGCGTATGATTTTTCAGGCTGTTACGGACATTCCAAACAGAATATGACCTACAATTTGAGAATGTAATGTAGTAGTACTGTAAGTCTAAGAACGTTATGCATAAACTGCATTTTTTTCAGGATTCCTCCAGTAAGGAGGAAGAGGTTGCTGTTAGATGAAGCAATAGAAATAAAGCTTTATGCTGCCTCATCCTAGTGGAAAAAGGAGCACAGCCTCAGTGTATGGATTGAGAAACATTTAGGAAGGAGAGATAAGAAAAGATAAATTATGCTTACAATTTACTGTCAGTAAGGACTTATTGTCATTTCAGTTCAACAAAGATCAGGCAAAACCAATCAATTATGTCAGGAAAAAAAAAGAAAAATATAATAGATTTGAGAGAAATGTACCAATGAGTGTGAAAAACTAGGTATTAAACTGTCTTTGCATTAATGTCAACCTAATGATGTAATACATTAATATAATGCTAAAAAATTATTTTAAACAGCAGCTCACTTCATCCCACAACATAGTAGTTGGTGAGGAAAGAGAGCTGAAATCTTATGTCCCATACTGAAGAGATGAGTATATAACATTGTATGGTAGAATAACTTGTTCAGAAAACATCTAGCTCAAGCAAGAAAGCCAACCAATAAGCTTAAACATCTTTGAGTTTTGTGTTTTACAGCTCTATCTTGCGTAACTTTCATGAAAAGGTAATGAATCTATTTTACCAAGGTAGCTTAGGCTTGTTTGCATTGTCTCTGGAGAAAAACTCAAGAAGGTTGTAGCTATAACAAAAGCAGGGGTTAGGTTTTGTTCTGCAGTAGGGTTGCTCCAGAAATATTTCCCTTTTATCTCTCTCACTTCACTGACTCTGTTCCAAAGCTGGCTGTCTTAAACTGCTCTGTACTGCTTAGCTGCCAGAGAATTTGACCTTTTTCTGACTTAATATCTGCTATTAACTGGCCTGAAGTGGGTGCTGAGTGTTCATACATTTTCTTCCCCTACCAGACTCCTCAGAAATTGAGGTGGGGTTTTTTTGTATAACAGCCATGCAATCTTTCACTAAGCTGAGAGTTCATACTGATGGCACCAGAATAACCTTAAGTTTATAGGGGTTTGTGTTTTTTAACAAACTACATATATGCAGTAAAGGAAATGATGTATTTAATATCTTCCATTTACAAGAATTGGAGCTCTGCCCTAAAATTAAATCGCATGGCAAAAAAGCTGTGAAGTTTTGGGAGACGCTAGCAAGAATGGACACTGACATGCCTTTTATTTTATCTACCTGGCACTATGCCATGTACAGTTTCTTGAAAAGAGGGTAGTCTGGCCTTGTGACATAAAGGCTGGTGTTGACTCTTAAGAGGATACTTACTCTGAAAGATGCTTTGAATTGTTGCTGTGTAGAGCACGGCTTACGGAAAGGTTACAGACGCCCTCGCCGTAACTTGATATGGAAATACCTCCACCCACACGGCTTTTTCTGCTCTTTATTATTTCATTTTGCATTTTCTTTCTTGCGAGTTATTGGAACGCTACTAGGTTAACATGAAGCATAAATACCATTTTGAAAAGCTGACTGAGACCATGGGCTTGCAGTAGGGGTGGGAGAAAGGTCAGCATTCAGTATTTCTTATCTTCTGTTTCTCTATTATTGCACCTTGCAAAAAGGTGGATGTATTTCCCCTTCCATAGAGTCTTGTCATCATTCTCATACCTGGCTTTTTCTAATATCCTATACATGTCTTTAGCTAACATGTATTTTGATACTGTGCAAAATACATCATGATGTGTACGACTTAACATAGCTTAAAACAAGAAATCGAAATCTGAGATTCAAGTTTATCTCGGCTGTGCTAATACCTTTCTGTAAAGCTTAGAAGAAGCATCTGTGTTACAGTTTACTTGGTCTTAGGGCAGACAAATTGTTCTTTCCTTCCTTTGAAGTAGCAAAGTTTCTTTAATACCAATGTTTCAAAAAGTTCATATTAAAAGTTTCAGATTTTGTTGTTTGTTTTTTTTTTCCCCGCCCCCCTTCAGCGCTATATCAAACGCTATGTGTATTTTAGAAGCCATTTATTCATGTTTGTGCCACGTGCTCGATGCCTGTTTGGGGTTAACAGACAACCAACAGGCAGCAATGCGTGATGCAAGGGAAGTCTTACTGTCTTAAACTATTTTGGTTTTAGAAGCCATAAAGCAGAGACAAGGCTATCATATTCCACTTGGTTGTGCCAGAAACTGAGAACAGTGATTTGCTCACGTCTTTTTTTTTTTTTTTTTTTTGTCTTAAAAGATTTAGTGTTCTTAAGGGAAAATAACTTCACAGAATTGCTGGCCATCTGAAGAAAGCATTTACAGACTGTGTCTTAGACACTATATGACCTCTCCTGTCAGCAAGCTTCCTTAGACCACAAGGGACTTATTCCTGACACACAGTCATTCTGGACAACAAATGGGAGTTAAAATATTATTTATAATCCAGAGAACTATTAGGAAAATACTGATGTACCAGACTGAGCTTGGGGCTCAAGTGATGGTGTTTACAGATGGATGACCTGGTATCTTGGGCGTGCATGAGGAAAAAGTCTGCCCAGACCTCTTGAACCTTCTTGGGAAAGTCTGAGAGACTTGGCCCTTGTTACCGTTTTAATGGTGTTAGAAGTTACACGATGACAAGCTGTATTTCATTTTCAGTTAGGACCATAGCTTCTCCTTTAGCTAATAACAACAGGACACATGGTTATTTTCTCTAAAGTGTGTGTGAAGAAATTCTAAGCAGCATTATATAGGAGTTTCCATGGAAGGATGGAGGCAGTTTTAGGCATCTATTGCCCCTGATATGTGTTTTTCTTCCCTTCTGGGGAGGGGCGGGGTGGGGTGGATATCAAAACCTCTAACATTCAAAAGGATTTTCTAGTACAAATTTCTTAAAATGCCTCTGAAAAGTGTTCAGCCTGGTCTTGATGCACCTGAATTTGGGAAGGAAGGGGGTGTGGTATGGATGCAAATATCCCAGAGTGGTCTCTGAAAAACTGATGCGTATTTTATGTGTGACCTTCCCCGCACGTTCTTTGCCCCTCACTCCTCTGTAGCATCCAAGAAGCTCTCAGCACCACCTTCAGCAATTCAACAGTCATCTGGCAAATGTCTTTTTTCCTCCCTGTCCTTCCACCAAAACACAGGGTGTAATACAGTGTTTGGTATTTGGGGAGGAAGGTGAGGAGGAATAGCAGAGGAATTACTTACTTTTTAGTCTATTCTGCCTGTTTCCGCAGTGCTTTTGTTGATCAGGAGGGAGTAAGTCTGAGGAGCCTGTTGTGAGGTCTGCATAAAGTTTGCACCGACACTGAAGCTCTATATGTGTCCCCAGGTCTCAGACTGGCCCTCTATAAAGTTTTTTCTTTTCCATACATGCCCTTTCTCTGATAGAATAGGGCTCCACTGTGCAGTAGGAGTTGTTCTCCATGGAAATTCAAGAGAGTTGTGTCATGTATAAGCTAGCCTATGTCAAAGATAGAGAGGTGTTTTCGACTTGCTTCTTTGCTGGACCTTTTTCTTCAGCTGTTTTTGCAACGTTTCCCTTGTAACCCAATTCCAGGATTATTTTGATTAATCTTCCCATAACTTACTAATTAAACACATCGTGGGTTTTCAAGACACAAGACACTGTCTGAGCCAGTCTGTCTCACTTTCTGCTGTTCCTTCATTCTTGCAGTGTTGAAACCCCTTGCCCAAAGCTTGACAGCAGAGCATTCACGTCTTGCAAGCGACATCGTCTTTCTTGAAATGAATGTGACTCTTAGTTGTATTAGTTTTCATCATAGAAAACTTTCAAAAATTAAATAATACATATATATATGTAAATATTCATCAGGTGGAGAAGGAATGATTTAAGAGTTATGAGACAGAGTTAAAAGGTTAAAGCTTGAGTTAGAAGGTAGACTTGTCCTTAGTAACAGTACAAGTGTTTTGACATCAAAATGTGCTTGACCTGAACATGACCTATGAGTATCATCTGGGAAATCTGAGAAAGCTACTCAAGCAGAACTCGGTAAATACATAAAGTTTATTATTTCTCTTTCAGTTTTCTAGTGGTGACACTGAAAAGCAGATAGGAGCTCTCTTCCATAACCTATTCCTTTTCTTGAATTTCTGTGTATATTTTTGTTTCTTCAAACCGTGTATTTTCTAGGTAACGAATCTTGGGTCGTCATTGTACAATATCCTCGTGAGTTACAAAATACTAGTAGGGCTAATTGTGAGTATTGTACAGCCGCTTTGTAGAAGGTAAGTGTGCTTCTGAAAAGATATGTAGCTATATTTATTAAAGAAGGATAAAAATGTTTGGAGTTTGAGTGTTTCTCAGTGTAGAAGATCATAAAGTAGAATGTTGAGGAATTAATTTTGAAGCATGAATTTGAAGAAGTTTAGTGCTTGAAAGGTTGAGTATCTCCAGGGTGCAGCACTTCTTTGAAAGTGAGACAAAGATGGATCTATCTTTCTTTCTCTCTATGGAGAACACCACACATGCACTCCTGGGCAACTGTGTGATTAGAGGCTGTAATTTAGGAAAACTGGTGCGTGTGCTATTTCCTTCAGCCCATCTCAGATGGGCAGTATAACACTGGAGTCTCTCCAAGCTGCAGTAGCAGCCTGCTTGTTAAATTAACAGGCTGTAGTGCCAGCTCGAGTTCATTCAACTCTTGCTTGAAAGAAGCAGGCACAAAGTACAAAGAGTGTCCAAGACCTGTCAGAAGTTTTGCCCTGAGGCCAACATGATCCACTCTGTCAGAGTGACAGCTTTGAGCTTTTCTCTTGGGAAACTTCTCTCTAGGATAGGCTTCTGGCACGTAAATCACCAGAGGTGGTCAACAATCACAGGTGGTTTTATAGCTGAGTTTATCATTGTCTTTTGGTTTGGAGTCATTAGGATTCACCTTTTCAGTCTTTTCATTTTCTAAACGAAAGCCTATATGTCTCCAATAATCTGTTGCTTCGGGAACCAGCGTGCCATGTCATGCATCAGCCTCAGCATTAAACCATGAAAATGGCAATGGTGGAAGTACGAATTGGCATTGCAACTAGGCTTGTGGCTAGTGTCGGTGTCCTTCCTTGCCTATACTGCAAGGCAAGTATAAGGCTGCAGTTTGCCAGCAGCACACCTCAGCCATTTCTACATTTTTCTGTCCTTATTCTGCCTGAAGGATACTCCTTTTGCTTGTCTTACATCTGGTTTTGCTAGTGTAAAGACAGCTGCTGGCTCAGCAAGATTTTCTTATTTATGAGTGACAGATAATTTGTATGATTTACGATTTATATGTTCCAGACAAAGGCAGTAAAGAGGAGCGAGACTTGAAAAATGATTCGACAAGTGATGATGAGTCTTTTAGATGGAGAAGCAGGAAACTTTCTTTTTTTAGGACCAACAATGTTTTCAGGAATTCTTAAAGTTGTAATGGGGCTCTGACCTGGAGTGGGTTTGATGGGCTATGTGTCAAATGTACTCAACAATATAGAAGGATATTTCTGTGACACTGAAGTCGCAGACACGTGCTTTTTTCATAGTGGAAGCCAATCCCAAACTACTTTGTCATCAACTACTGAACGTGCTACTTAATGTCAGAGAACGTCTTCTTATCTTTTTTCTTTCAGTCTGCAACTGCAGCTTTTACGCAGACATCCCTGCTGTCTCGCAATCTGTTGTTAAAAAGACTTATATCCTAAGCCTTTAAGGAATCTGACATGTACTTTATATGCCTCCATTTGCACTATACACATGCCCTTAAATATCTTCTAACATCCGAACGTAACAGAATGCAAGGTCTCACTTTGTGCTTCGCTGGGCTTGTGCACGCTGCATATAGCAAATCCATCAGAGCGTCAATTCAGCACAGCTACCACTGTTATCAAAATGCAGTAGCTGTTACTCATTAAACTGGGCATTCAGATATATTCTCTAAACTGTGATTCTTTTTTATCCCTTACCCAGAAAAAGATTCTGAATACATCAATTATTAACCCTGTAAATCTAGAGACAAAAACAGTCAAGGTTGTGAACTTGTGTCTTGGCCTCACGGTGTGTTCAAGTTCTTGCACGTTGTTTGGGCAAGGCAATATTGTGCATGTGCGATACCTGCAAAGTGAAAATAGCTCAAGGATTTTAACTTTTTGAACTTGGCACAATCTGTAATTCTGTGAATGACCCTGATATGCATGTGTGCTGTAGATTTGGTTTTCTTCAATAGAGGAAGGAATGAACGCAAGGTTTCTAATGTGTTAACTGATGAGTTTCCAGATAGAACAAAATATGTATTTGGAATTGTTTTGGCTTTATTTCGCAATGTTTTTGAATTCATTTCCTGTCTTTGTGAGCCTCTTGGTTTGCAAATGACCTTCATTAGCAGTTACTCCTCTACTTTGAAGATTTTTAATGAAAATATTTGTTTTCAGCTTCCCAAAGGCAAATATCCATACAAATACTGTTACACTGCATAAAAATTTTGTTATGATAACTCTTATTCTCAAACAGCCTCTGGAAATGAGAAATGAAAAATTTTCTTGCTGGCAATGTAATTAGTGGCTACCTACACTCTACATGAACTATGATCAAGTGCAGTTTGTATCATGTGTGTTTTTGAACAGCTAAAAGAGTTATGCTAGCCCTTAAAATATAAAAGCATCTGTAAACTTCTCTAAAGAGGCAATATAAAATATTGTGCATGTCGTTTCATGAATGAGGAAACTTACAGCTCTTTCAAAATAATCAATTGGAGGAGCAGTGGCCCATAGAAGAAAATTGCATGTAATTAAGTCACTTTTAGATTGATGGTTTTTATTAACATCTACAAGTATAATCTGACTGTATGAGTATTTGCCTACTCTCCAAGAAAAAAAAAAAGTATTGAAAAAGTGTGGGAGTGTACCAAATTAACAGTAAGGGTTCTGCTTTAACCTGTGTCACACCAACACTTAAATATTTTAGATGGAAATTGTAACAGTATTTCGTTGTCTAGATTGACTTTTGACAGAAATTACTCAAGTGTCCAGTTCTAAAAAATGGTTTAAAAACGTAACTTGCACAGTGTTGTCCTGGGGCGATCACAGAGTAGTGGGTGCTGCTCTGTTGCACCAGGATGCAGGGATATCGCTCCCCATCTGTGTTTCACAAATGGTCTTGTTCTAGCAAGAAATGCGTTTTATTTTTTCCTCCCTTGTTTCTGAACAGCGATTTCCCGGAGGCTACCCAGCCCGCCGCTTTTACGGCTGGCC